GATGACGTGAATATTCACACTAAAATATATTAATGTGAATACAAATATTAATATTAATAATGTTAATATTAGATGACGTGAATGTTTACACTAAAACATATAAATGCAAATTCAAATGTTAATGTTTATAACGTTAATGTCTATATTCTAGAATTCATGTGAACATTCACATTCATATGTTTTAATGTGAACATTTACGTCATGTTTATATTCAAATGAAAGTTGAGGCTTGTGGTTGTGTAATTTGATGCAATACTGATACGAACCTTAATATCACCTTATTCACAACGTCATCTCATATGAATATTCACATTTTCGTCATTTCATGTGAACATTCACATTCACGTCATCACATACAGTTAATATTTGGATGCATGAGAATTACCAAAAACATAATGACAATCAGTAAAGAATCATGTTTAATTTTTTGTGTGTAATACATATCAATATTAAATAGTGGTGTGTAGTTAATACATTTTTTTGAAATGAAGATATTGGGAATATGAATGGTTTTGTTTTTAGAATGGAGAGAGGGCAGTTTGATCTTATTATACTAAATGAGATCTAATGAAATAATTAAAAATAATTTGAATTTTATGATATAAAAGTGTTAAAAATGTGATTTATAAAAAAGTTTTCAAAAAAATATATATTTTTAATATTAATTTATTGGTGAGAATATGACAAACTCGTGGCTGCGAAACTGTGGGACCCATTGTAATCACCAAAGTCATGTCCAAAGATAGTTCCTTGATTCGAATCAGACAGGGGTGTCTAGCACATAATAATCACCAAAGCAATAACCAATCACAACGATCCAAATTATACTGAGTGGGTTTCCTACTAATAAACTCAAATAATTTATCCGACAAATTACATTTTAGCTCCTAAATTCTGATCTCATAATTTGAATTAAAAATTATAACACTTAATCTCCATCGTCTATTACAGTAATTTTATGTTTTTAAATTAGATTTTAACGACAAAAATACCCTGTTAACTATAAAAGTAATTATACATTACTCTCTTAAACTATCACTCAATAGGGTGTTTGATGAGAATTATACAAACACTTTATAATTTATAACTTATTTTAATATAGGAGTTTGTTCTAGATTATTTGATAAAACTTTTGCTTATAACTTATTAGGCAAAAATAATTTAAATAAATTAAAAAAAGTTGATTTTTCATAAGTTGGGGAATGAATGCTTTTATCTTCTACTTTTTTATTATCAATTTTTAATTTAAAATAATCTCCGCCAAACACTCCAATATCACTCTATCCCACAACTAAAAAAACAATTCTTTGGCTTTAATAAGTTTTTTAAACAAGTTTTCTTATTTTTTATTTTTAGTAATTTTTTTCATATTTTAATCAAAAAAATTTAAATTTTAAATGCAGCTAAATTTTAAATATCTGTGAAGATTTTTTTTTAAATATTAAAGATAAAAAAAATAAAAAAATAAATAAGTGATATTTTTTTTATATTTTTTGTCTTTAGTGCGCATTTAAAAAAAAATCATAGATATTTTCATTATTTGGTTTTCAATTTTTTTTAACAAACTAAAAATTAATTTAGTGATAAAATGAAAAAAAATAAGAAAGTCCAAATTAAAAATGATATTAATTGATTGTTTAAGAGGGTAAAGTGATATGAAGTGATAGTTTAATGAGATAAAATGTAAATTATCCAATTGATAAAAATGTATTTTAGTCATATAAGTTTAAATTGAAAAAAAATAATGGATGAGGGGGTTAATTGTTACACTTTTTAGTTGAGGGGTAAAGTGAATGGGACAATAATTAAGGGAGTAAAGTGTAATTTACCTTATACGTGGCAAGAAATTCAGCTTTTAGAGACGTTTAAGAAACGCTACTATAGGTGTCCAAAACGTCGCTAATTCTTTTTGTGACGCTTAATACCAAACGCCGAAAATGCGGCCGTTGCTGTAGCCTTATGGCGCTTTAGAAACGTCATTAGATTACTATAGGTGGCGTTTTTAAAATGCCGTCATAGATTTCTTTATATTTTAAAAATCTAACCGTTGGCAAAATAGTGGCGTTTGAAAAATGCTGTTATAGCTTCTTCTTTTCTTTTCTTTTCTTTTTTTTTTTGAAATATCTAACAGTGGCATTTGAAAAATGCTATTATAGCATTTTTTTTTTTGAAATTGTGTTAATTCTATATGATTTAACTAAAAAAATACCTATAATAAAACTGAAAAATAACAATAATATGAATAATCTATGACTTGAAACATTGGGGACGATAACCATCACAATAATTCAATCTCTTCGAAAACCAGATCAACACAATCCAATCCTCAAACCACACTCTTTAAATTGACCAACAAATCACTAATAATAATAATAATTCAATCACTAATAATAATTCATCATCTGTTCATCCAATAGACAACAATTTCAGTTTTTGCCGCATAAGGCTAAATGACTCCCTAAATTGAATAGATAGTCCTAAATTATTCAAAACAAAAGGCTATGAAAATTTTGATGTATAGCTTGAAAACTGTCCACAAAAAGAACACCAAAACACATCACAAACCATAGAAATTGCAGAGAATCATCGTTATCTCTCGAAATAGCATAACCTTCAACGCAAGTTGAAAACTTGAGAAATTAGGATTTTCTAGTTTAGTGCATGAAAATTAACAACCAATTCGAGACGGAAGGAAGAGCTTGAGAGAGAGAGACGGTGGTGCTCGCTCTCATTGCCGGTGAAAATGGTGGTAGGGTGGAGGTCGAAATCGAGAGAGAACTTTGAAAGTAAAATCAAAATCGCTTTGTGATTTGATCCATTGACAGAAATTAGGGTTTAGAGCGAGAGAGTGAGTGAGAGTTTCTCTCAGTGATTCATGAGCCCACCTATTTGAAAGAGAGTGAGAGAGTTTTTAGACATTTGAAGGCATTTCTAAACACCTACTATTATCAAAACGATGTTGTTTTAATTTAAAAATACTGTAAAATTTATAACACGTCATTCAATATTTTAAAAAAATAACATTTAAAAAAATGTTGTTAAATAAACGAAAGTTAAATTTCACTTTTCTTATAGTGATATTGATCATTATCTTAGTGGGACCTATGTAATTCTTAGTTCAGGATGTCATGATACGCACCATCACCACCCTCTGATCCTGTCCATTACCACCCCCATAGTCCAAGATCCAATAAGGATAACATCAGCTACTTCACACCCCACCAAACCCCTGTCCTGTCCTTTCCATCATTTTTGTTTATTTTGGACCCATACTGTCCCATAAAAATATATACTCCGTAATATAATACCTCAAATCAGTAAACAGTGTCAATTGTTGTGGGCCGATCTTGACAAGGAAAAGAAAAAAATAATGAAGAAATTATAATTAAGTGTATACTAAAAAAAAGTACACATCAATAATAAATTTTATAAATATTAATATTTTTTATTTTTTTATGTATTTATAAATATTTTTTTCAAAAGATTATTGAATTGTAATTCTTCTAAAAATAAAAGTGTACGACAAAATATAAAATTTTATTTAAACTGGTGAATTCATAGGACTTGTTAAATATAATATTAATAAAAAAATAAAATTAATTGAATATTAATAATTATATAATTAAATTAAATTAAATTCTCTTTCATTAAAATAAAATAATAAATGTGTCGTGTCATGTGATTAATGTAATTTTTTTATAAAAATAAAATACTTCACAAATTTTAAATATTAAACGATTTAAATTATCTATATAAACTCACATATGTTCAATAATGAGGGGAATAAATGTGTAGACTTGTTTTTAGTCCTAACTGTATTTCCTTTCAAATTTTTAGAGAGGCAAGGGGTACTTTTTACCCTAAAAATATAACTACTTAACTCTTTATTTATTTAATAAAATAATGAAGAAATTATAATTAAGTGTATACTAAAAAAAAGTACACATCAATAATAAATTTTATAAATATTAATATTTTTTATTTTTTTTTGTATTTATAAATATTTTTTTCAAAAGATTATTGAATTGTAATTCTTCTAAAAATAAAAGTGTACGACAAAATATAAAATTTTATTTAAACTGGTGAATTCATAGGACTTGTTAAATATAATATTAATAAAAAAATAAAATTAATTGAATATTAATAATTATATAATTAAATTAAATTAAATTCTCTTTCATTAAAATAAAATAATAAATGTGTCGTGTCATGTGATTAATGTAATTTTTTTATAAAAATAAAATACTTCACAAATTTTAAATATTAAACGATTTAAATTATCTATATAAACTCACATATGTTCAATAACGAGGGAAATAAATGTGTAGACTTGCTTCTATTCCTAACTGTATTTCCTTTCAAATTTTTAGAGAGGCAAGGGGTACTTTTTACCCTAAAAATATAACTACTTAACTCTTTATTTATTTAATTTCGATCTTCATTATTAAAAAAAAAAAAACTTTCCGTATTTAAGTGGACCCATAAAAGAGTAGAGCACAGTCACACCTTCTTCATGTTGACCAAAGCAAATCCCACTGAACAAATTGGTAGTCCGCGTCGCAGGTGATCACCATCAAACCAGTCCAAAAAGCAGAGCGCACACACAATGTGGTAGACCCAAAAAAAAGGTGGACCCGGTTCACAATGGGTTTGACTCGACCGTTACAACTCAACCCAAGCAGAATATGGGAGAGTACATGAATTAGCAATGATTCATGCACATAAATTTTTCGTTTCAATTTTTCTGAATAGTAAGAGTTTAATTTCTGATTGGTAAGAGTCTTGTTCGGATGGGATTTTATATGGATAAATCATTAATAATAAATGAATATATTTTGAAACATGCATATAGAGACTAGAGAGACGCACAATTGTATATCTAGAGAGAGAAATTGGAGAGAGAGAGACAGAGAGAGAGGGTGAGCACATATTGAGAAGTCTGCAGGGTAGAGAGGACTGCAAGTTCGAATTATTCTTCTTCTGTGTATGCTTTGCTTTTTAATCCTCACTGCTTTCTTTTGGACTATAGCCTAGCCCCCTCTTTCTCTTTCTCTTTTCTCTCTCTATTAGCCACTGTTTTATATAGCTATATATATCGATTCAGTCCAGAACCCAAACCGAAGAGAGAGCTGAGGAGAGAGCGGACAGACCAATTTTAAACAAAAGCAAAGAGGGCAGGCCTTTTACACGTGATAAAGAATACACTAAAAGCACTTGCATGCGTGTATAAGATTCATCATCATCATCATCTCTCTCTCTCTCTTTATGCAATCTGTGTGAATCTCTCGCCCCACAAAAACCCATCTTTTTATCCCCACTTTCTAACGCTTCACGTTCTTTGCCAGTCCCATCTTGTGAGTTCCTTGAGTCCTAAAGCTTCTCTCTTTCCCTCTCTCTGTTTCAGTTCAATGGTCACTGAGTTGGGTTAGTATTGAAGTTCGAATTTTTTCATGGCGAATATTCATTTCTCATGTCATTTTCTATGATGCAGTGGAAATTGGGTATCTTTGGATTGTGATTTTACTTTGGTTTTCATTGTTTATTTATTTATTTATATATACGTTGTTTTTGTAGGTAATTACTCTAGTTGGGCTAGCTTTTGTTTTTTTCTAGGCGTTTTATTCTCTTCTTCAGCAGTCATATGTGACTTTCACATTTTTATCTATACATGTTTGTACATGTGTATGTTGAGTCTCTATTTACTTGGATTTATTCCTCTATTTTTGTGATTTTCTGTAGAAGTTCGGTTTTGGATAGGGGACAAAGCGGAGGTATGGTTTTGTCTTCTGGATATTCCACTATTTGATTATGATATGTATCTATAGATTCACACACACACACTCATATATATATATATATATATCCACACAAACACACACAGATTATTTGTGTTTCTAGGTTTTTGTCTACATGATTCATGGTCATTGGGTTTCGAAATTCGAACAGAAGCATCGAAGAGCGTTTGGGTTTTGGGCAATGGAGAGTTTTGTCTCTACATATATGTTCTTTTTTCAGTCCCCAGCTGATTTTTTCTACAAATTTTGTTTGGGTTTTTTCTGATTTGAAACTTTGATTTGGTGGGTATTTGAGATTTGCGGCAAAAATTTAACAAGATATCAAGCACACACTTGTTTGTCTACATGTATGTGTAAAATCATATATATATTTGGTTTGCTACAATCTTTGCCTTCTCTATTCATGGTTCTTCTTATTCTTCTTCTTCTTTTCTTCTGCATTAACTGCAACTCTTGTTTTTGGGTGTCGAATTTTAAGTTTTTTGTTTTTTTTATTATTATTTTCTGGTTGAGTGTATTTTTGGTTGAGTTGTTGAATAAAATGCGAGAGGCTTGGTTTTCTATTCTGGAAAGAGAATGTTATATGGTTGTGGTCTGCAATAAAGACTGGGTTTTAATGTGTACCCTCTTTACTTTGCGTGTGAAACTTTGTTTTGGTGCATTATATGAATTGTTTTCCGTATATGTAATCTTTTATTGTTGGTCATCTTGCTGACATGTGTTCCTCTTCTCCGTTTCTAGGTATTTTCAGTACACAACGCAGTCTTGAATAATCTGTGAGGGGTAAATGAGTGAAGGACAAGAGGAGAAGACAGTGTTTGTGTCTGTCATTTGGTGAGAGACGGAGACATATCCTTGGACAAGTCTTTGGGCTTTGTTTGAATAGCAGTTCCAGATAGCAAACCCTTGTCATCATGCCTATGAGGCAGATGAAAGAGAGCTCAGAACAACACCTTGTGATTAAACCCCAATTGCAGAACACCATGAATCAAGCTCAGAAACCCCCTAAAACTGCTCAAAATGGGAAAGGACCACCAACCCAAGAGCCCCAAAACACCAAAATCTATAACCAGACCTCACCTCCATCGAAGAACAGAGGGAGGAGGAGGGGGAGAGGTGGCCGGAAGTCCGATCAAGGCGAGGTTTTTATGCGGCCGAGCTCGAGGCCATGCACCGGGGTCCACAAGCCGGCCAGAGCCGGTGAAACAGACATACCAAACGGGTCTATTGTGAATGGGGCCAATTTGTGTGAAGTGGAGATGGGTTTTCCTTCTTCAAGCAAGTCTTTGAGTTTTGCCCCTAGGCCTGGTTATGGGCAGCTTGGGACAAAATGTGTTGTCAAGGCTAACCATTTCTTTGCAGAGTTACCAGACAAGGACTTGAACCAGTATGATGTAAGTGATGATGGGTTTTACATTAAACATTTGTGTTAAATAATACATTGCAGCAAAATTATTAATTTATTTCTGCCTTTCTCACTGTGACATAACAATTGGGTTGGGGCCCTTTAGCTGACATTCAGTATGTTTATGGTGTGTTGTTTTCTTCTTACACTTTCTGTCACTTGCAGATAAAATTTAACAGGGAAGGCTTTATGTTTGTCCTTCGCTTAATAGCATTTATGAGTTTTTGTTTTTTAAAAATCGTTCTTATTGCTGTGTCATGTGTGTGTGTATTATATTGCTTGCAGGTTACTATCACTCCTGAAGTGGCATCAAGAAATGTGAACAGAGCTATCATGGCAGAGCTGGTGAAACTATACAAAGAATCTGACTTGGGGAAGAGATTGCCAGCATATGATGGCAGAAAGAGTCTATACACAGCTGGTGAACTTCCTTTTGCATGGAAGGAATTCAACATTAAACTTGTGGATGAAGAGGATGGAATCAATGGTCCCAAGTAAGAATTTATTGCTTTTTTGGCAGTGTTGTTTTATATGTAATTTGTGCCTTTCAGTTTTTTTGTACACTTGTTGGGAGTTCTTATTGTAACAAATTGTTGTGGGTGTCTCTCAAATTCTGCTTGATTATGCTTGTTACCCATTAGCGGCCTGCATGTCCAGACAAATCTGACGTGATATTCTATTTGGGTCTATTTTGACCCGGTTTACTACTTTTAGATCTTTATATATTGTGTTATATTGGGTTTTTAAGGTTGTGATGATCTAGAGCTTATGTAATAAAGGGTTCTTAAGAGAGAGAGCTGGCTCAGTGTAATCTCTATATTTGTAGTGAAATTTTTTTACCATTACCCCAGCGTTGTAGGTTTATAGCCAAACAACATAAATTATTGTCCGTTTGCGTGTTTGTTCTGTTTTTCTTTTCTCATCTTCGCTTTTTGCATTACCCAAATTATGTGGAAAATACCAACTAAAGGCCACACAGGTGGGGGAATTAAAAAAAGAGACTAGTATCTGTGGTATTTTTTATTGGTTCTATTTTTTGTGGTATTATGGAACTGGTATTAACTGAATATTTATTCAATTTTTCAGAAGAGAGAGGGTGTACAAAGTGGTGATCAAGTTTGTTGCACGGGCCAACCTGCATCATTTGGGCCAATTTCTTGCTGGTAAGCGTGCAGATGCTCCACAAGAAGCTCTTCAAATTCTCGACATTGTGTTGAGGGAGCTCTCGTCAAAGAGGTATGATTTCTTGAAGTGCTTGAGATCATGTTGACCTCCATTGGTTCCGTTTAATGAGTTCAGCGCAAACTGATATCTTATTTGTCTCATAATGCACTTCAAAGGTATTGCCCTGTTGGGAGATCGTTCTTTTCACCAGATATTCGGAAACCACAACGGCTTGGTGATGGTTTGGAATCATGGTGTGGATTCTATCAGAGTATTAGGCCTACACAAATGGGCTTGTCTCTTAATATTGGTACATAGACAATATTAGCTTGATCTTTCATATGTAATTGTTTGTTGTCAATGTAATGATTGTCATCATCGATGTAATTTTTGAGGGATCTACGTTCTATTGCTCATCATACAGATATGGCTTCCGCTGCCTTTATTGAGGCTCTCCCTATAATAGAATTTGTTGCCCAGCTTCTAGGAAAAGATGTGATATCAAGGACATTGTCTGACTCTGACCGTGTAAAGGTACTTGTCTTTGTTTTGCTGACATGTGCAGCATGTATTTACCTCTTAATTTATTTAATTTGGAAATTTACCTTGAAATATGAACCAGATCAAGAAGGCCCTTAGAGGAGTGAAAGTTGAAGTAACACATAGGGGTAATGTACGAAGAAAGTACCGCGTTTCAGGGTTGACATCTCAACCAACAAGAGAACTAGTGTAAGATATTAAACGTTCAACTTGGATCAAACTACTTCTCAGCACTTTTGTTTCTTCTCTAAGGATTCTTGATAAACGTCTGACACGTGTTATAACATTCATGGTAATTTTGTTCAGGTTTCCTGTTGATGACAACTCGACCATGAAGTCCGTTGTTGAATACTTTCAAGAAATGTATGGCTTCACAATTCAGCATACACATCTTCCTTGCCTTCAAGTAGGAAACCAGAAGAAGGCTAACTATCTACCCATGGAGGTGAATGATCACAACATGTTGTGCTGTCCTACATATTGATTCAGTTACTTTCTCCTTTTAAATTATTGTGCGGTACTCAAATTATTCATTCGCCAGGCCTGCAAGATTGTTGGGGGGCAGAGATATACTAAAAGGTTGAATGAGAAGCAAATTACTGCTCTTCTAAAAGTTACATGCCAACGACCAAGGGATCGAGAAAATGACATTTTGCAGGTACTTGTGGTGTATGATCCTCATTACCTTTCACCTTTTCTTCCCCCCTCGGGCCCTTGGTGTCTGAGAAAGATTAACTGAATTGAATTTTTATGCTCTATTTGATTGTTGAAACTTGAAACGTTAAGAAGAAATTATTCACTATTCAATTATAAAATGGTTTTGTGTATCTACAATTTGGTTTCTCTATTATCTTGCCAACCATGTGAACTTTTTATAACGTATTCAGTCTTATAAACTATGTAGAGAGGGAGTTGGTTGTTTTATAGGCATCTGAACTCACTCAAATATTCGAGTCAAAAATTCTGTTGGAAAATTTATTATTATCTACATTCTGGACTAAATCCATGATTCTGGTTACTAGTATCTAGGAGAAAGTTATAAATTTTGTAAAACAGTTTAGTTATATAAATATCAAAATGTTGAATATAGTTTGCTAAGCTTGAGCCTTGACCAAATGATTTTATCCTCTATGCTCTGACAAACAGACAGTTCAACACAATGCCTATGATCAAGACCCATATGCAAAGGAGTTTGGAATCAAAATCAGTGAAAAACTAGCTTCTGTGGAGGCACGAGTACTCCCTGCTCCTTGGGTAAGACCATCGTTCCTTCTTCATGAAATTCTAAACTGGATTTGGGTGTTTATTAATAGCACCACCTTCATCTGCAGCTGAAATATCATGAAACTGGGAAGGAAAAGGATTGTTTGCCACAAGTTGGTCAATGGAATATGATGAACAAGGTATTTATTTTTTCTTTTTCTTTTTAGTGTCGCCATGAGAAACAAGTATGAGAGAATGGAGAAAGTACATTTATTGTTCTGTATCCTTTAAAATCAACAGAAATATCCCAACCAGGAATGTTTCTTCAATTTTAGTTTTCCTATAGTTCATTCCAAAACTTGTTTTGCGCAGTCTATGTAACAACATTGATTCAATTCACATCCGTGCCTGTAACTAATCTTCTGTCTCATAAATTACAGAAAATGATTAACGGGATGACTGTTAGCCGGTGGGCATGCATCAACTTCTCTCGGAGTGTGCAAGAGAGCGTTGCTCGTGGATTTTGTAATGAACTGGCTCAAATGTGTCAAGTGTCTGGCATGGTACTTACTACTTATCTGTTCCATGTTTTTTTAGATAAAAAAGCTCGTGGTTTTGCTCCGGAGCTGAGTTGTAATCTGCTGCTATTTTTAGGAATTTAATCCAGAACCTGTGATTCCAATCTACACAGCCAAGCCCGAGCAAGTAGAGAAAGCTTTGAAGCATGTTTATCATGTATGCATGAACAAACTGAAAGGAAAAGAATTAGAGCTTCTATTAGCTATTTTGCCCGACAACAATGGTTCCCTATATGGTGTGTCATCGGTGAATTTGAGTTGCTTGAATTGATATGCAATTTAAGATTTTAATCGTGAATTGACATATCAAGCTGTACCTGATCCTGCATTTTCAGGCGATATAAAGCGAATATGTGAAACTGATCTTGGTTTAATTTCACAATGCTGTCTGACGAAGCATGTCTTTAAGATTACCAAGCAATACCTGGCTAATGTGTCCTTGAAGATCAATGTTAAGGTGTGATTAATCTTCATGATTGTGCAAAGAGACATTTACAAAAATTTCCTTAAATTATTCATTTGTTTGATGTTAGCCGTAGGGGCTCTCCATTCTGTCTTTCTTTCCTCATTTACTTCCTAATCAACTTTATCTACAGGATTTGAATTCTCCTATCATTGAATTTTCCATCATTCTCATCATATTTGTCTGGCTTGTTTTTAATTTCATATTACGACAACACCTAATAATTACGGACTTATGATCTGTTTCTGTTATTGGTGCAGATGGGTGGTCGAAACACTGTTCTTTTGGATGCCATCAGCTGTAGAATTCCATTAGTTAGTGACATACCAACTATAATATTTGGAGCAGATGTAACCCACCCTGAGAATGGAGAAGACTCTAGCCCCTCAATAGCTGCTGTACAGTTCCTTAACTGAAAACATGCTTTGTGGAACATTCTTTTTCTACAAATGATTATTGACGACCTTGATGGCTGATAGATTTTGTGGTGACTGTAGGTAGTAGCTTCTCAGGATTGGCCTGAAGTCACAAAATATGCTGGATTGGTTTGTGCTCAAGCTCATAGACAGGAACTCATACAAGACTTGTACAAAACTTGGCACGATCCTGTTCGTGGCACAGTTAGTGGTGGAATGATCCGGTATAGTATGCTTTCTTTGCCACTGTGGACTCTCTTCATAGATTTTTTTTTTTGTATTTTTTTTACATTTCATTTCTGTTTGTGTAGGGATCTTCTGGTTGCCTTCCGCAAGGCAACAGGGCAAAAGCCACTGAGAATTATATTTTACAGGTCAATTTGCTTATTTTCCTCTTCTTTTTTTTTTTCTTCCTTCTCTCATGGCTGCTTTATAAATTTAAACCGCATAGCGACACTTGAACCTTTAAATTTTCATTTCCACTACCACCATTGTCTCTTTGATGGGAATTTTACTCGCATATTCTCTGAACACTTTTGATAGTAACAGACCATCATCAGTATCATGGTAGATGCTCATTGCAATATGACCAACTCTTCCATTCAACTGTAGACATTGTCTCTGTTCCAGGTGCCATAACATCATCAATTCAATATTGTGTCGTCATTGATGCTATCACCACTACTACCTTTGCCTCTTTGGCACCATTGCAATTTGCTCAATGGCCATTGAAACCATCTTACCTTTTTATTCGTATTGCAAAATTTTGATTACCTTGTGTCTTAGCCTGATGCAGTTGAATTGTTGTTGAAGTTAACACTTGGCTAAGTAAAAGATAAAGTAACAACTCCTAGAGCCAGAGTTTTGAAAACTTAAGTTGTTAGGAAATTATGTGAAAGCTGTCTCAATTGTTTAGTCACCAATTCTGCCAAAAGATTAAGTTGTTAGGAAATGAGCCCAACAATTTATATATAGCTATTCTACACCCTTCCTCATGTTGCATGTAGGGATGCAAACATTCATACATGGAGAGAAGAAAGAATGCATACGAGAAAAAGATGAACCTAGAAGGAACGGGGTGGGTTGGTTTGAGGGGAAGAGAAGTGTGCATGTCTAAAAGGTAGTGTCCTCTTCTTTGGGGAAAAAAGAAAAAAAAAAAAGTGGAAATAAATCTCTCTTTAAAAATGATTGCACCCTTGACATTTTCTTTTTGGACAAGTTCTTGGACACTAAAAAGAGGTGGGCTCCCTTGCTACATAACTTTCAAAGATACTATTTTTGTCAAAGATTCTGACATGATTTTATTGAAGCAAACATGGTCCACATGGACATGAATCAGTTTATTCATTTACATTGTTTGCATACCATGTGTCTACACAGACATGCATGTATTGTGCATTTTTATACACACCCACCCCCCATATATGTGGAACCAAAATTGTGTGCAATGGTAACACCATACTAAAGCCTAGTTGGGTCCAATTTATGTGCAAGTCTGCATCATAATTTTCTCCTTGATTTTAATTTGTATTTTTAATTGGAAAAATTTAAGCAGGGATGGTGTGAGTGAAGGGCAATTTTATCAAGTCCTGCTTTATGAGTTGGACGCAATTCGGAAGGTGAGTGTTGTTTTGTCTTATTTGGTATGCTATGAAAATTATGCGAAACAAACTAGAAATGACTGTGGTCCCGATTGATTACTTCTTTGTAGGCTTGTGCTTCTTTGGAACCAAACTATCAACCACCAGTGACTTTCATTGTGGTACAGAAACGGCATCATACTAGATTATTTGCAAACAATCATAGGGACCGCAGCAGCACCGATAAGAGCGGAAACATCTTACCTGGTAATTTTTTTCTGTCTTCAAAAACTGAACTCTCTTCATGCTTATGTGGAATATCTCTCTTTTGTAATATTCATCTGATTGTTTATGCATTTTTTCTCAGGCACTGTGGTTGATTCCAAGATCTGTCATCCAACGGAATTTGATTTCTATCTCTGCAGCCATGCTGGGATTCAGGTGAAAACTTAAACTTTTCTTCTATTACGTATGTGATTAGAAGATACTTATAAAATAAATGAACCTTGTTGCTCTTCTTAGAGGAAAATAATGAAAAACAACACTTTCAACTGGAATAAAAATGTACCGTTAACTCCGGAAGACTAGTGAACAAGCAAACAACTTTGTCCTGACCTTGAAAGATAATCTTTTTGAATTGTGATTATAAAGCTTATAATTTTGGGAGAATATCAAAAAAGTGGAAAGTAAAGGTTATAATTTTAAATGATGGATGTACAAGATTTATTTGCATAATCTAATGCATAAATCACTTGTACTTCCATCATTTTTCTACTCTCCACTTTTTTGATATTCCCCCTATAATTTTTGGTCCTAAAAGTAAAAGCCTCTCGAGGGGTGGCAAAGAGGAAAAAGAAAAGAGAACAGGGAATTTAGTACAACATAGTTCACTACAATGTGCTGTGATTTATTTAATTTTTTTTGGTAAAGAATGAATCTTATCTTGTTTATAATGTAACAGGGGACGAGTCGACCGGCGCATTACCATGTTCTATGGGATGAGAACAATTTTACAGCAGATGGAATTCAATCATTAACAAACAATCTTTGTTACACATATGCAAGGTGCACACGCTCTGTCTCAGTTGGTAAGTCACTGTTCCTTGTTACACGTGAACTGGCATTTGCATTTGCATTTGCATCTGGAGTCATTCACTTAAGCTTAAGGCTTAATCATTCCTGCAAACAAAAACCCTGAAGCACACACCCTGAAAGCACACAGTGAGAATGTGAAAGGAATGTATTTTTATTCCTGAACGGACTTGTCTTTTTGTGTAGCACTGCGAATTGACATCTCCAACTCATTGTTTAGCAAAATTTGACTAGATATACTCTTTCTTGAAATTAAAAGAGTCCCGTACCTGATTTGTTGTTGTGTTGTACTTAGTAAAATTCATGCCAATACTCGCAATCAAGAGTTTGTGCTATTTTCTCGTTGACTAAACAAAGTAATGAGAGTTTTGTCCTCTCTGCAGTTCCTCCAGCATACTATGCACATTTAGCCGCATTTCGAGCCAGATTCTATATGGAACCAGATATGCAGGAGAATGGGAGTGGTGGCGGTCAAGTTGGGAAGAGTACGCGTGCTAATGGGGATACTGGTGTCCGGCCATTGCCAGCCCTCAAGGAGAATGTAAAAAGAGTAATGTTTTACTGTTAGAAAAAAGAGAGGGTAGGTAGATCTGGTAATCTAGTGTTGGTAGCCTCTTTGTACATGTATGATATGATTCATGCAGTTGCAGCAAGGTCTACAGTTTAGATCAATGATTATAAAAGAGCAAGAGCAGTAGTTTCCTTTTGCAACCCATATTATGTTTCAATTTCTAAATCCATACTCCTGAGATAAATTTTAACAAATCAAAAAAAATTAAAAAAAAAAAAGATGTTTCAATTTATGAACTTTAAAAGGTTGTGAATATGATTGCTCCTCATTCACCAAGACCTTGCAGAGTGTCGTTCAAAAACCGTACTGGGCTTCTTCATGGCTTGAAATTTAGTCCTGCCTGGAATTATCTGAATCCGATCCCATTATAGAACATTCTAAATTTAAACCCAATCTAATCTCTACAAATCTAATAACAGATCATCCAAATTCGAGTTCTGTTTATCAGGGTGTATTTTATTTGAAAATTTGATCCATCAAATTAGTATACCTTATGGTAGGGGATTCTTTGTTTAGATCTCTCGTATCTCAATCGGATTTCTCATATCCCGATGCCCCTCTCCATCACATAATTAAGCCAGAGAGACTTGTTACCGCCTGGGATGGAGGCTGTGACGCATTTATGGTAGTGAATAATTTTCACTCCTACATTTGTAATGATGTGAGAATTTTTACAATTTAAAAGTCATTCTTGAATTTTTTTTACTTTTTAAGTTTTAAGTTCAACTTTAGCCACGTGATTTTGTGGGAATGGATTGTCGGTCGCCTTCTCCTGTCGCCCCAAAACGATGTATTCTTGAATTTTTTTTACTTTAAGTTCGACAATGCTACGTAACTCAAATTTTGTGGTTCAAAAGTGGCTCAAATAGTCAAAACGACGTCGTTTTGAGTACAGAACAACATAAAAATGGCCAAAACGACGTCGTTTTAGCCATTTGAGTCACTTTTAAAGCACAAAATTTAAGTTACGAGATATTTTCCTTTTAAGTTTTAAGTTCAACTTTAGCCACGTGATTTTGTATCATTCCATGGATGAGAGATTTATTCATCAAATGATTACTAATTTAGTACAACATATGTGATATTTGAACACATAATTTATTATTATTATATATTCTGATAGCATACTAAATTATTGATAACCTTGTCTAAAACTAAAGTCAATAAAAAATGATGATTTTTTTTTTTTTTGGATCAAAGGAACCAATCAAATGAGAAATTTTTGTATGTCAATAGGATATCACGTGACATTACCTTTCACTAATCACAAATGGCCTATTATTGTTTCTCAAACACTCAACATAAATGTACTGAATCCTATTATCAAAATCAATTACAATAGTAGAAGGTATCACATGACATGTACATTATCCGCATACAAAAATTTCTTCAACCAAATCTATATCTATACTATATACTAAGTAAAAAGGAATTTTTAACCTTAAAGCCTGTGAGAGTTCTAATATCCTAATCCTAATTTTCTATTTTTTTGATTTAAAAAAAAAAATCTCAGTATTTATTGACTTCTTCCAACCCAACCTCAGCATTTATTGACTTCTCCTAACCCATAATCCCTTTTGACTCTCTCATAATTATTGCAACACTTTTTTCAATTTCTTCCATACACTATGGTTACACCAAAAAACACTATATTTACACACAAAAATAAAAATAGAAAAAGATAAGAATTTAGTTATAGATCTCAAAAAGATATAACATCTAAATTTGAATTATGATTTAATAATATAATTATGTATTTTTTTTATGTAAATCTATCAAAATTTTAAATCACTTAATGAGACAAATTAATCAATTTTCCAAAATTATTGATTTTTAATTTACAAAATAAATTAAAAAAACTATTGACTGATTTATTTATTTAATAACAAAAATATTTCATAATCTCTCTCAACTAATCTCTCTCACAAATTTTCAAAAAAAATATTAAAACTTGCATTCCTTTTCTCTTCCCCAAAAAATAAGATAATATTTTTTTGTTAAAGTTGTAGATATCTACCTATATTTTATATATTATATTATAACACAAAAAAAAACTAAAAAAACAATCTTTAAAGTTTATTAATAAACTTTACATCAATAAAACTCATGTTTCTATCACATATCTAACTCACATCATAACTTACCTAAATAATAATAATTAAAAACAAATGAAAATCACAGATAAATTAAATTTTAAAAAAAAAGATACCCACAACTCCAGCTTAAATAAATTGAAAAAAAAAATACCCGAATAGAAACCACACAAAAATAAAAATAAAAATAAAAAGATATATCTATCTATCTATCTATACTATATATTAAGCAAAATGAGATTTTTAACCCCAAATCTTATGAGAACTCCAATCACCCAATCTAAATTTCTTGATTTTTTTATTTCAAAAAAAAAAAATCTTAACATTTATTAACTTCTTCCAATTCCTAAGTCTTACTCTCATAATAACACTTTAATGTATTAAGAACAAGTATAAAAAAAATTCTTTGAAATCCAACACGTATAAATTCCTTGAAAAGTCCCAACACATATGATTATTATCCCTCATAATAGCACTTTAATTCATTAAGAACAAGCATTAAAAAAATTTCTTGAAAAGTCTAACACATCTATCTATATCTATCTATACTATATATTACGCAAAAGGGGGTTTTTAATCCCAAGACCTGTGGGAGTTCCAATCTCTTAATCCTAATTTTCTAATTTTTTGATTTAAAAAAAAAACTCAGCATTTATTGACTTCTCCCAACCCAACCTCAGCATTCATTGACTTCTCCTAACCCACAATCCCTTTTGACTTCTCTCATAATTATTGCAACACCCTTTTCAATTTCTCCCATACTTACACACAAATTTTTTTAAAAAAAATAAGAATTTAGCTATAGATCTCAAAAAGATATAACATCTAAATGTAAATTATGATTTAATAATATAATTATGTATTTTTTTTATGTATATCTATCAAAATTTTAAATCACTTAATGGGACAAATTAATCAATTTTTCAAAATTATTGATTTTTAATTTACAAAATAGATTAAAAAAAACTATTGATTGATTTATTTATTTTTAATTTACAAAATAAATTAAAAAAATTATTGACTGATTTATTTATTTAATAACAAAAATATTTCATAATCTATCTCTCCTAATCTCTCTCACAAATTTTCAAAAAAAAATATTAAAACTTGCATTTCTTTTCTCTTCCCCAAAAAATCATATAATATTTTTTATTAAAGTTGTAGATATCTACCTAGATTTTATATATTATATTATAACATAACAAAAAAAACTAAAAAAAAATCTTTAAAGTTTATCTAAATAAACTTTAAATCTTATCTGAATAAACTTTAAATCAATAAAACTCACATGCCTATCACATATCTAACTCACATCATAACTTACCTAAATAATTATAATTAAAAACAAATGGAAACCACAGATAAATTAAATTAAAAAAAAAGATACACACAACTCCATCTTAAATAAATTGAAAAAAAAAATACCCGTATAGAAACCACACAAAAATAAAAATAAAAATAAAAAGATATATCTATCTATCTATCTATATCTATACTATATATTAAGCAAAATTGAGTTTTTAACCCCCAAAGCCTGTGGGAGTTCTAATATGTCAATCCTAATTTTCAAATTTTTTGTTTTTTAAAAAAAAAATAACCTCAACATTTATTAATTTCTCTCAACTCACAAGATTTTTTAACTTCTCTCATAATTATTGCAGTACCTTTTTCAAAACAAATAATTTGTATATTAAAAAAAATTTAAAACAAATATAAATATCTCTATCTATATCTATCTATTTATTTATATCTATCTCTAACTCACAAGTTTTGTGGGAGTTTCAATATCTAAACCTTAGTTTCTTAATTTTTTTAATTTTTTTTGAAAAAAAAAACTTAGCATTTATTAAATTCTTCCAAGTCATTTTAATTTTTCCAATACACACATTCTTTTTAACTTTTCGCATACCTATTGCAAATAGTGAGTCTCCTTTTTGTTTTCTCCTTCTTGACTTCTCACTTCTACATTTTCAACTTCAGTGCAAACAGTAAGTCTTCTTTTGTTTTTTCTTTCTTGACTTTTCCTTTTGTTTACTGTTTTAATATTGTAGTTAGATAGCGCATAAAAATATTTGTAATTTGTCTAGTGAATAAAAAAATTATAATTTGATTTTTTCATATGATTGAAGTTAGATAAATATAAATCTTCATAAAGAGAAAAATGTGATTATAATTAGTTGAATGATTCTTTTTTTTTTTTTAAATATAATTGTAGTTAGTTTAATAGTTCTTTTTTTTTCATTTATTTATTTTATTATGGAAAAAATGTGATGTGATTGTAGTTTGTTCAATGGCTCTTTTTTTTAATATGATTGTTGTAGTTAGTTCAATGATTTTTTTTTTAATGTTATTTAATCTTTTTATTTACTTTTATTTTTGATTTTTTAATATGATTGAAGTTAAATAAACATAAACACTCACAAAGAAAAAAAATGTGATTGTAATGTGATGTGATTGTAGTTTGTTTCAATGACTCTTTTTTTTAATATGATTGTTGTAGTTAGTTCAATGGATTTTTTTTTTAAATGTTATTTAATCTTTTTATTTACTATTTTAATTATATTGTTAATATGATTGAAGTTAGATAAAAATAAACACTCACAAAGAAAAAAAAATGTGATTGTAGTTAATTCAATAGTTTTTTTTTTTTAATGTGATTACAGTTAGTCAATGGTTCTTTTATTTATTTATTTTATTATGAGAAAAATGTGATGCGATTGTAGTTTGTTCAATAGTTCTTTTTTTTAATGTGATTTAATCTTTTATTTACTGTTTTAATGGTTTTTCTTTATAATTATTTATGAAAAAATATGATTATAGTTATATAGCATAAAAATATTTGTGATTTGATTTGATTTATTTTTTTCTGATTTGGTTTTTAAAATACCAATTATTAATAATGATTAGATTGTATTTTGAAAAAAAAATTGTAATTGATTTTTTTAACTCACTGTGTTTTTTGAAAAAAAATTGTAAGTGATTGTACTTTGTTCAATGGCTCTAAATAATCTCAATTTGAATTTCTAAATTTTTTATTAAAAAAAAAACTCAACA